TTCAGATCTTTTTGATTCCCTGGTGGTCTGATCTGTGGATGTAAAACCTACAGTGATAGAGAGTCATCTGTGTAAATCCCCTGAGGTGTGGGACAGTTTTTTCTCTTTGCCTTGTTGGCTTTGATCTGGTTATAGGGTGAGAGTGAGACCTGAGGGTGATATTCTGAACACCCAAGCCCAGTGGGACCCATTCTGCCGGGTACAATTTCTTTCTTAATTACCATGTAGGCGGGGCCTGCACAGTCACCTGCCCTTGACCAGTGTGTTGGGAGTTGGGCAGACTAGACCATGTCAGTACTTCTCAGTGTTCAGGGATGGCTTGAGGTGGGTAGAAATGCTCAGATGGCTTTGATGGAGAAATCATTATGGTGGGTGCTATGCCCAGTTAGAAAAGGCCTCCAGCTGAAGCCGAACATGTCATCGGAGCCGCAGTTTGGCAGATTGGTCCCGCAAGTCCTGCAGAGATCTAGGATAGGAAGCATGCCCTGGGAGAGGGGTGGACTCTCAAGCTCCTGGTTCTCAGGTGAAGAGGGATTTGGACCAGGAGAGGGTACCATTTTGCTGTATGTGGTACACTGAGGCTGCATGGCACCCAGGGCCCACCTATGCCACTTGTAATGGAGGACCACTAGACATACAGATGATGACTCAGATGGTGTCATTCTCCATCACTGTGGTGTCCAGGCTCTGATTCTGTGAGAGAGAGATTTACAGAGTACCTGGGCTCTGGAGAACACAGGGCACAGAGGCAAGGAAGTTGATGACAAGGAAGATTGGTAGCTCTGACCAAGCCTAGCTGTTCACCTTTATTTTGTCTTTCCCTCATTTGCTCACTCGAGCAGCCTTGAGAAGGACAGGGCAGTCCTCCCCTCCTCCAGCTTCTTCCCCTCCACCTCTGATGCATTTGCTCAATGCGCACACTCTCCCAGGTGGCAGAAGGTCAGAAATGATTGCACATTCACGAGGTAGGGGCAGGAGCCTCTGTGAGGCTGGGTGAGTTGCTCAGGTGACAGTGGGCCCAGTTTGGGTTTATAACTTGACTCTTCTAGACTCCAGGTCTCTTAATAGGCAGATGAGAGCAGCCACATTGTCTCTGGGGGAATGGTTAAGTTAATTCAAGTGAAACTGCTCCTCAAGCTGCTCTTCGGATGCTGATAATTTACTAGTATAATTAGGACTGGTTTGCAGCTCTTCGGTCTTTTAAACCAATGCCCTTGTTTTGTTTTGTTTGTTTGTTTTTAATTGTTTATTCATCTATCCACCCACGTAAGAAGTTTAGAATGTCTGTGGAGAGTCTAGTGTTCTGCCAGATAATGGAAGCGGGAAGCTGAGATAGGCAACTCAGAGAGGGGGTCATGGGCTGATGCCTAAGGGGCACAGTGGTGGCAGTGGTGACTCTAAGTGTCACCAAACAGGAGACTAAGCCAAGGACATGGAGAGAGGGGTTCTGGTGTGGTGACTGTGACAGATTTGGGGGTTTCATGACTCACAATCCATTTCCTGTCCTGGGAAGTGCAACCTTGCTGCTCACTTTTCAGTGGGACAGAATTAGCTCTTGGAGGAGCAGGATGGCTCTCGCCTATAATGCAGCACTTACGAAGCTGAAGCGGGAGGTTCCCTGTAAGTTTGAGGCTAGCCCAGGATACATAGTTCCAGGTCAGCCTGGGCTACACTATGAGACCCTATCTAAAAATAAAACAGTAAATAAATAAAAATAAATAGATAATTAAAATAAAATTAAATGGCAGACCATGAACTCCAGGCCTTATGGCGCCATCTGATTTGATGGATACATTGAAATCCCAAATCAGGTTAGGCTGGCCTAATTTACTTTGTAATAACCACTCAAATATAAAAGGGGAAAAAATCCCATTAAAAGCAACAACAACTGAATTCTGGTTGTCTAATTTTCCAGCTGAAGCCACAGGGTAAAAGCTCCCAGGTTAGAACCTATGGCTCCCTGTGGAACATTTAGCTATGATTAATCACTGTAAATTTTATGAGCCAGGGTCCTGTCACAGCTAGTCGAACAAACTTTCCATCATACTTATGGCCTGGAAACACAGCTCCAGATAGTGACCTCAAAGCCACCTTGAGCTGATACTGCCCTGGTGATGTGGGGTCCAGACTGGACAAGGGGATCTGCAGCCTAGCTGTTCTGAGCCTTGAGAACACTAGCTTCTACCTCTCAAAAAGCCTGTCTGTGGAGAAGGAAAATAGAGCTTTGTATGCTTATACAGTTCTGTGAGCCAGCCTCATGCTCTATGTGAGCTAGATATGTAGACAGCTTAGACAGAACACAGATAGATAGATAGATAGATAGATAGATAGATAGATAGATAGATAGATAGATAGATAGATAGATAGATAGAACATAGATAGATAGATAGAACACAGATAGAACATAGATAGATAGATAGAACACAGATAGATAGATAGATAGATAGATAGATAGATAGATAGATAGATAGATAGATAGAACACAGATAGATAGATAGA